GCCGCTCCTCCACGCCCCCGGGGACGACGACGCTCCTCCACGCCCCCGCGGACGACGCCGCTCCTCCTCGCCCGCCGCCACAGTCCCCCTCCTCCACGCTCGCCGCCGGTAACTACCGTATATATATATAATTTGTTTTGTAATTTATTAAAACTAGATTCAATTTAATTGCTATTTGCTATTAAGGTCAGATTCAACTATTAAGGTCAGATTCAACTATATAATATATTATTTTATTTGCTAATTACCCCTCAATTAAAGAATTTAAAGGGAGAAAAAGTATTAAAATTTAAAATAATTTCAAAATTTTTACAACCATTCGTTTCAACTAATGAGAATGGGTTTGCAAAAATCTCTTTTATTATAAGTATAATAATAAATTATTAAGATATTACAGTTTAGCATTATCTTGTTCTTATTCTTTAATTTCATCTAGGACTAATTAATATAGAACCCATTTTAATTATTTCCATCATAGTAAGCAATCTGTTTATAATTTGTTGTTTCCTTTTCTAATTGTTACTCCGTATAGTTTAATTTTAATTTGGGTTAGTTAACCAACATAAATGACTAATTTTAGATTATTGTACTTCGCTATTTTATAGTAAAAGTTTTTAGTTCAAGCATCAAACTGGTGTAAATATATTTATTTGTGACCATTAGTTTATGGGTAAATAATGCAAGTAATATATTAAATTAATTAACAATATATATATTAATAATATTAGCTTTAGTTTTTATGATTTTTTATGATAATATATTACAACATTTTAGTACACTAGAGTATGTTTTTATGATAATATATTAATGAGTAAATGTTCTATTTCTCGTTTGATTTCACTTCTTTAGGTGAAAATATTTGATTGATTTATTTTTTGTTAGGCGTCAATCGGGTTTGACTAAGTTCAGTCCTTGCTGCGCTCCTCCTCCACTGTTCTCCGTCGGTCTCGGGTACGCAATTTGTCTATTGTGTTTAGCAAGATTCAATTCACATTGTGTTTGACATGTTCTTTGGTTAGTTAGGATGTATAAGAAAGCATCTAGAATTGACAAATGGTTATTATTATTTTACTTAGATTGGCTTGTACATGATGAATAAATGCTCCTTGTTTGCGTTCATTAAATGCTACTTGTTTGCACTTTGTAAATGCTAAAATTATTGTAGTTGTTGTAGTAGTTATTATTATCAAAATTTGTTAAAATAGTGTTAACAAATGTTTAATTAGAGTTATTATTATCTAGATTGGCTTTTACGCGATGGATAAAAGTTGAATGATAGCTAATCGACTTAGTACGGAATACGAAGATGGAGTTAGAAAATTTTTAGACTTTGCAAAGAGTAACCTTCCGAATAGTAATAATAGGTGGTTGTGTCCTTGTAAGAAATGTTGTAATCAGAAAAAGTTAGGTGAAGAGGACATATATGATGATCTAATCTTTAATGGGATTAATCCATATTATACACAATGGATTTGGCACGGTGAACGCGATGTGTCTACGACATCTAATGTGTATGTTGACAATGAAGATAATGAGTCTGAAGATCAGTTGGATGAAATGTTTCGCGATGTTGGAGAAGAGTTTACCAATCGGTCAAATGAGTTAGATGAATTATTGAATGATTCAAAACAACCGTTATGGCCGGGGTGTAGTAAATATTCCCGATTATCTGCTATATTAAAATTATTCAACTTGAAAGCTGGGAATGGGTGGAGTGACAAGAGCTTTACTGCGTTACTTGAAATAGTAAAGGACATGCTTCCAGATGGTAATGAACTTCCCAATAGTACGTATGATGCCAAAAAGATTTTGTGTCCAATGGGTATGGGATATACAAAGATACATGCTTGCCCTAACGATTGCATATTGTTTAGGAATGATTACAAAGACTTGCATGCATGTCCAATATGTGGGGCATCTCGTTATAAAACAAGCGAGAATGTTGCTGGTAAAGTACGTTTGAAAAGGCCACCAGCTAAAGTTTTGTGGTATCTCCCAATTCTTCCAAGATTTAAGCGTCTGTTTGCAAATCCAAGTGATGCGAAGAACTTAACATGGCATGCAGATCAAAGGATTCCTGATGGCAAGCTTCGACACCCGGCTGATTCTTCTCAATGGATAACATTTGATAATGCATTTCCTGAATTTGGTCACGAGGCGAGAAATCTTAGACTTGGACTTTGTACTGATGGTATTAACCCCCACGGGAATCTAAGTAGCAAGCATAGCTCGTGGCCAGTTATGTTGATAATTTATAATCTACCCCCTTGGTTGTGTATGAAACGAAAATACATATTATTATGTTTGATGATTTCTGGGCCAAAACAACCAGGTCATGAAATAGATGTTTATTTGGCGCCTTTAATTGATGACTTGAAGCAATTATGGGATGAAGGTGTGTTAGTGTTTGACGCATACCGAAAGGAGACTTTTAAGTTGCATGCAATGCTTTTTTGCACAATCAATGACTTTCTAGCGTATGGAAATCTGTCTGGATATAGTGTCAAAGGTCATAAGGCATGCCCCATATGTGAAGATAATACATGTTATCATCAACTTGTTCATGGTAGAAAGACGGTATATATGGGGCATCGGAGATTTCTTGATAAATTTCACCCTTATCGAAAATTAAAAAAGGCATTCAATGGGGTGCAAGACTATACAGATGCTCCACAACCATTGACTGGGAATCAAGTATATGAACGAGTTGAATGCCTTCAAGTTACTTTTGGTAAGACTCAGAAGCTTAAATCTCAAAGAGGAAAGAGATCAAAATCTACAAATGAGAAGAGTCCGTGGAAAAAGAAATCTATATTCTTTGATCTTCCATATTGGAAGACACTAGATGTGAGACATAGTATTGATGTGATGCATGTGGAGAAAAATGTATGTGATAGTCTGGTTGGAACTCTTTTAGACATAAAAGGTAAGTCTAAAGATAGACTCAATGCTAGATTGGATTTGGTTGAAATGTGCATACGACCTACATTAGCACCACGTTCCGAGGGTAAGAAAACATATTTGCCTCCCGCTGCTCATACTTTATCAAGAAAGGAGAAAATAAGTTTTTGTGAGTGTTTACGTGGAGTAAAGGTACCACAGTGGTATTCATCAAATATCAGTAGACTTGTTAATATGCAAGATTTAAAGTTGGTGGGGTTGAAATCTCATGATTGTCATGTCTTAATGCAACAACTATTGCCAGTGGCTGTTAGAGACATATTGCCTAAAAAGTTGAGATACACCATCATAAGACTTTGTTCCTTTTTCAATGCAATTTGTGGAAAAGTTATTGATCCAGACAAATTAGATGAATTGCAAAATGAAATTATTGTTACACTGTGTCAGCTAGAGATGCACTTTCCACCTTCATTTTTTGATATCATGGTTCATTTGCTTGTGCATTTGGTTAGAGAGATCAAGCATTGCTGTCCAGCTTATTTGAGGTGGATGTACCCATTTGAACGGTACATGAAAGTATTAAAAGGTTATGTTAGGAACCGATATAGGCCGGAAGCATCTATTGTTGAAAGCTATGTTGCTGAGGAGGTTACTGAGTTTTGTACTGAATATTTGGCAGGAGTTGAGTCTATTGGAGTTTCTAAGAATCGGCATGAAGGAAGAATTACTGGAAAGGGTACTCGAGGAGTCAAAGTGAATGTTATGCCTCGTGAAGATGTTGAGCATGCACACTTTTACATCTTGCATAATACAAGTGAAGTCGAACCGTATTTAGATGAACACAAGGCGTTGATTAGGGAGCAAAATCCAAGAAGGACAGACATGTGGATTGTGGGCGAACATAATCGAACTTTTATTAGTTGGTTCAAAAATAAAGTTCTTAAAGAGAATAATGTTTCTGAAACTGTTTCATGGTTAGCACATGGTCCTGGTTTGGATGTTTTATGTCATAATGGATATGACATTAATGGGTTTTCTTTTTATACAAAAGCTCAAGATGAAAAGAGCACTATGCAAAACAGTGGAGTTACTTTGGTTGCAAATTCAATGCATTTCAGTAGTTCGAAAGATCCAAATCCCGTGTTTGCAGAGTTGTCATATTATGGTGTGATTGAAGAAATATGGGAAGTTGATTATGTTTCTTTTAGGGTCCCGGTGTTTCGATGTAGATGGGTAGATAATAAACATGGTGTAAAAGTTGATGAGTTAGGATTTACCCTTGTAGATTTTAATCGGGAAGGACACAAAAATGAGCAGTTTATAATGGCATCCCAAGCAAAACAAGTCTTTTATATTAGTTATCCTTGTGACAAAAAATGGTCCATTGTTCTTCATGGAAAGAGACAAATTGTTGTAGATGAGAATGAAGATGTTAGTTTTCATATTGAGGAAATACCACCATTTTCGTCAAGTTTATTGCCTCCTGTTATTGATAATGAGATAGATGAAGTGCATGCATCACGAGATGATCATCGTGAAGGGATATGGGAGAATTGATTTATTATATATGTAATGCTTTAATTAGGTATTTATTTTGTTTTTTTATTTTCTTATTATAATATTTCTATATATATTCTAATAATTTTTCTTTCTAAACAGGCGTATGGATTCCACAGATGATGGTGGTACTACAGAAAGTACTCATAATACTCAAAGTAGTACTCAAACTACAAAGAAGAGGGGTGCCACTCGTATGCAAAAAATCATTAGGCAACGTAATGCTTTTGGGAAACTACAAGTTGAACTTGATGGATTCGAGCCTGTCTACGGGAAAGCTGGCAATGAATTTAAAAGTTATGTTGGATTAGTGGCACGAATCAATACTCCTATAACAATAAAAAAATGGCCGGATGTCCCAGAAGATACTAAAGCTACTATTTGGAAAGAAATCCTGGTAAGATAAATTTAGATTTATTTAAAAAGTTAATATAATTACATTTCTTACTAATAAATAATCTTGTTTTGTAGAGTACTTTTGATATTCCCGACACCATTGATATGAAGACACATTGGTTAAGCTATGTGGGTTATAGGTGGAGAGATTTTAAAACAAAATTGGTGAACAAGTATATATATGGTATTTATGCAGGTCAGAACCCTTGTACTTATAATTACATTTATTACTAATATATAATCTTGTTTTCTTACTAGTATATATACGGTTGCTATGCAGGTCAGAACCCTTGTCAAACATACGACTTCATTGAACAAGAGACATGGAATGAGTTTTATCAGTCGCATACGGGTGAATCATATGAGGTATCATTATTATTCTATCAATATTTTGAACAAGGGATATGAAATTTATCATATGATTAATATTTGGTATGTATGTAGGCAACAAGGAAAAAATATCAAGACATACAAGCTAAGAATATTCATCCACATCTTTTAGCTCGAGGAGGTTATAAAAGGTTGGAGAAGATGATGATGGACGAGAAGTTGAAAGAACAACAAGCATGTGCTGATGCAGATCCGTCGTATACAATGAGTCCTCCAAGTCCCATACGTAGAGCCGAAAAATGGAAGAAAGCAAGAATGGACAAGTCAGGAAATTATCGCACTGATTCAACTAGAGTAGTGGCGGAAAAAATTGTAAGTACATATCTTGTCATTTACTACAGTAATAGTAATTATTATTATTGAATAATTTTTATATATGTTAGGATGCTCTTGATTTGCAAATTTCTCAAGGAGAATTTATTGAGGATGGAAGAAAGGATTCATTGACTGTTGCGTTGGGTACCGATGAGCATTGTGGATGTGTTAGAGCCATGGGAAGAGGACATGGCATCAAAAGTGTTTTTGGCCATGCAAAACGTCGCCAAAAGACTCCTGAAGATGTTCAACAACTGGTTGATGCTGCTGTTGGTGCTGCCGTTGGTGCTTTAAACAAAAGCAGGAAAATATTTCTGACGGGAGGAATTTGGTCAACGTATAACAGAGCAATTTGAGGCAAAAATAGCTAGTATGATGTTGCAATTTAGTGCTATGCAGACTCCTTTACAGCCAAAGCAGGTGACAACCGTATGTGTGGATGCTGTGCCACCACCTCCCAGTGACAAAGCTAGTTCCCTAGACCCTTTTAGTAATTTACCGGCTGTAAGTATTCGTTTATAGTTATCTTATTATTATTTATCAATAAAATTTTATATGATTTTTAATTAAAAATTATTGTAGTTAGGGGCACGATGTCAATTGTTTTTAGAAGATCCAATTAGACGTCCAGTGGCATATGGGACAGCTTACAGTGGTAGACAAGTTCATGGGGTTGTACTGGATGTAAACAATGTGAAAGTGAGTATAACTGATGTTGGTGATCCAACTGCACATGTACCATTTTCCACCGGTGAGGTTGATCTTGTAAGTGATGCAAGCCAACACTTTATCGTTTGGCCAAAGAAGCTGGTAGAGTTATGTACTGAAGCTAATGCGGTATGTATACTGATAATATTTCTATTTTAAAATATTAAATAATTTACTTTTTAAAACTATAATTATTACTTGTATTATAATTCACAGTTAAAAGACAATACCATGGACAATAGTATTGCTCTAGATTCTTTGATTGCTGAGTGCAAAAAGGCTTTTACAATAGCTCGCCGTTTCGAACAGAATCTTGTGATCCATGTGGCTCGTGGTATTATGGGCGAGATTGAGTATGACTTGCACCTTGAAAGTGTGGAGATATTGCGTTTCTTAAGTATGGACATCATCGATGTTTCTCTAGTTCAGTTCTTTATAAGGTAATAATAAGTTCTTTATGATTGTTTATGCATAATAGTTTTATATTTACATTCTTGATTATTTATGTATAATTGATTCTATTTGTGAATAGGGGTATTTACATCAATTTTGAGTTGGCATCAAAAGACACTTATGGTTTCCTAGATCCATATTGGATTCAACCAAAAATGAATAATATAGAAGAAAGGAAATCATATATAAATGCCACCATGCAGTATGGGAAGGAAAATGTGTATTTAGCCTCATACGTTCTCAAGTAAGTTTTAATTACGTTTTAAATTAAAGTGCTTACATATAATATATTTTTATATTATATTATATTTACTTATTTACGTATAACTAATAAATTACTTATTTGTAGTGAGCATTGGATGCTGATGGCGATTTGTCCTAGATTAAATGAAATTTTTTGGTTTGATTCACTTGGTCATGGGCCGCGTGAAGACATTAAACATATAATGGAAACGTATGTAAATTTATATAATGAATTAATAGTTATTATTAAACAAGTGATGCCAAATATTTATATATATTTTATGTCTTATATGAATAGGTGTATGACTGCAACAAGCATGATGAGTGGAAAGAAACAATCTCGTTCATCGAAATGGACTACATGTTTGGTAAGTACTTCTTTCACTTTGTAAAACAAGCAAACTTATTGTTTTTTATTTCTATTTTAAAATAATTTTATTGTAATTCAAATGTAGTGTGCTATACAAAAAGGAAGCACCGAATGTGGTTATTATGTGATGAAATTCATGTGGGAAATTGTTTCCAACAACCTAAGCAAAGGAATGGATAAGGCAAGTAATCTAATAATACATATTTCTTTTTCAAATGTTGTTTAAAATATTTAGTTATTTATTATTTTTATTTTTTTTTTTTTGAACTTTGTAGATTTTGGAAAGACAAGGACGATTGCCCTACAACAAACAAGAGATTGATGACGTTAGAAACAAATGGTCTAAGTTTCTTATTGATGAATGGGTTAATAAAACGTTGTTAATTTGATACTAGTTTATGTTTAAAACTACTTTGTGTTTATTGGTTTGATGCTAATTAGTAGTTTTGTTGCATTGTGTTATTTATATTAATTTTAGTTTTAGTATGTAGTTTTGTTGCATTGTGCTTAATTAGTTTCATGTTTAGTATGTAGTTTGAATTAGTTGATGTTGATGCTGAATGTAACTAGCTGCACAGGTTCTGAATGCACAGCAGGTTGGGCTAGAGCATAAAACATTTTCTGTATAAAAAAAAAAAAAAAAAAGATACGACGTCGGCTATTGGTCATAGCCGACGTCGTATATATATTTATTATTAAAAAATAATGATACGACGTCGGCTAATTAGCAATTAGCCGACGTCGTATCATTTAAAAAAAAAAAATTTAAATACATACGGCGTTGGCTATTTGGCGGAGCCGACGCCGTATGTATATATATTATTTAATATAATTATACGACATCGGCTAATAGCCAATTAGCCGACGTCGTATCATTTTAAAAAAAAATTAAAAACATACGACGTCGGTTAAATAACCGACGTCGTTTATTTTCTTACAACGTCGATTTAGTCGACGTCGTAGGATAGCCGAGGTTAAATGGGGTCATTTAGTCGAGGTTAAAGCTATATTCTGTAGTAGTGCTACTCCAGGAAGAGGAAGGTGATTTTTACCCAGGAAACAGCCTGCGAGCACCACTGGACGTTTCATCTGATTCTGAACCACCCACAAACTGTGATGGGTTCATTACATATGAATCTGATGAAAACTCCCCAGCAGCTGTTATTAATGAAGCACCTCCTTCCATTGAAGAAAGATAATTTTTATCTGAAGAGGCTTGGAACAATCCAAATTTCGACAAAGATCTTTGCACTTACCTCAGTATGCATAAAGGCGAATCTATTTGTGGGTATCTGAAGGAAGTTTCACATGATGAACTAAGATCTTCTGTTGCTTCATCTCGTCCTGACTATTTTACATCGAAAAAGAAAGTAAGAATGGATAAGGGAGAATCCAGCAAGACGAAGAAGGGAAAAGAGAAAAAGTAGTTTCCCTTTCGGTTATTTTGAGATGTAATGACTTATCTTCTAAATAACTATTCTCTCGTCTTGAAATAAAATAAAAGTTGGTATTTTATGTTTTCCCGAAAAGAGCTTTAGTCTTTTGTTAAAAGAGAGATAAATCTTTATTTGATTTATTTTATCTTTTGGGAAGAAGGCCCGAGAAATTTGAAGACGCACAGCTCAAGAAAAAGGCAAAAAGAGAATGAAGATGCAGTTGTTAAATGTGTTGTATTGGTATAGGTCGAGAGATGTTTGTGATATCTACCAAGTTCCTTATTATTATAAAACATCTCCTTGTTTCATGTGTTCCTTATATTATCAGCATGCTTCTTAACACGAAACATCAGCCCACATATTCACGAAACTTTAGTTGTTTGGTGAAAATACGAGAATCTTTATTTGATTCTCGCAAAGGATTACAATTTCATCGGAAATCAAATGAACTGACGGTTATTTGGAATTGAAGACTTTCATCCCTAACCGTTCGATGAAGGTGGTAGGAGAGATCGTGTAGCCACAAAAATCGGCCCACTACCCCATGATCCTCTCTGCCAATGTCATTAAATGCGGATGTTTGCACTCGAGTATTTTTCTCTCTCCTATTTAATCGGGAATGATCAATTTTGATCTAATACTGGCCTTATCAGTAACCCTTACCATATCAGTTTACCTTATTTGGAGAATTGCAAAAGTCATCCTCATTCAAATTTTAATACAAAGTCAGTTTACCCGGTTGAAAAACTTGACCCGTAAAAACCCTCTCCTTTTAACCTAAACCACCACACCTATTTAACTTTTTCTTCCATCTTCTAAACCTTGAACCCTCCCTCTTATCACAACCTCCCTTCTTCAAACCCAGAAATTCATCTTTTCTCAGAAGCTATGGCCAAGAAGTCCAAAGTGACAGCTTCGAATGCAGAACCAGAATCGGCTGAAGTAGAAGTGTTGCCAAACTTTCCAACCTCCGACGTGAACTTCATTCAGTCTAGAGTTCATCTTGTTGTTGGCGGATGTATGTTGGATGCTCATGGCTTTCTCCAATATGTTCTTGACAAATCCTTTGGAGAAAAGATCATCCATTTATTGCAGGATAGTGGGTTGTATGGCTTTGTGACTCACCTCTACACTTTTTGGTTTCCGGTGGATGTTAATCAGTTCTATCTGAATGCCAAAGTGTCCACCGGTGGTTCACTAATCTCTTCTGAAGTCATTGGCACTTCCATATCTCTAACCTATGAAGATGTGAAGAAAGCTTTCAGTTTTCCAGATCGTGATGAGTCATACCACTCAGATTTTTCCGGATACTACTACGATCAAAATGAGTTTTATGGAAGCATAAAAAACAAGCAAGGACCAACTAAAATCACATGGCCCTTGAATAAGAAGTGGTTTCGACTTGATTATGAATTTGCAATTGACATCTTCAACAAAATAGTAGAACACAAGACGTCTGGGACAGACGATGTGACGAAAGATAAGGTGAAGATGTTCCATGCCTTTCTTTACAGTTATAAAGTGGATTGGTCAAAAGTTGTAGTCAACCATCTTCTTCACATCATCACTTTTGGAAGATCATCACCGGGAGATATCCCAAAGAAGATTGGTTTCGGTTATCTCGTTAGTCATCTTCTAGCTAAGAATAAGGTTCCTCTTCGTGAAGGCATTCTCCCTAGACCAAAGGTTTGTCACATGAAGTCGAAACCTTCTGGTTATGACAAGCAGAAGACACTGGAGTTGGGATTACCTTTGGACTCAGTAAAGTCGAAAAGAAAGTCCAAGAAGACCAAAGAATCTGATGATGATCAGCCCAAGCCCAAAAGACGAAAGAAGGAGAAAGCCCTTCCACATCAGCTACCAAAGGCTCATATTAAGCTCAGCCTCTAGCACTGCCATCGGAACCGAATCCTTTGACTGCTGACAAGAAAGATGATGCCCCTCCAAATGTTAGCTCTTTATCTCCACGAAAGATTCCTCAGGTTTCAAGTACAACAGAAAGGTCTGATGACGAAGTTGCTACTCAATCTATCCTTGCACAACCAAAGAAAGGTCACTTCAGACCAACAATTGTGAAAGCCAACGAGATAATGACCAGATTAGCTCCTCCTCCTCAGTCCAGTTTAAAAGAAAAGCTGAGAAAGAAATCTGCCACCACTCAGGGGGAAGAAAGTTCAAAGCGAAAGGATGCTTCTCGCAAGTCTTCGAAGAAAAGGAAGACCACATCTGTTAGTACCGAAGGTTCAGCACAAAGCTCCTTGCCACAAGAACCTGTCTTAGTAGAGCAGATCAACCCGAGTCTGACACAAGAACCTGCTGAGATAGAAAAGGATAATTGCGAACTTCCATCTTCATCTGATCACTTAAGTCTCCCACAAGAACCTGACTTGCCAGAAGAGACGAGAGAAGTGATCATCGATCCTGTCATTGTCTTAACACATGCCACCGAAACTTCCCTTACACAAAAACCTACTCCAGCAGAGCAGATCAACCCGATTCTGACACAAGAACCTGCTGCAGTAGAGAAGGACGAAAGCTTGCCACATTCTTCGAACCACTTAAGTCTTCCACAAGAACCTGGCTTGCCAGAAGAGACGAGAGAAGTGGTTCTTGAACCCGAAACTAATCCAAATCCCCCCCCCCCCATCAAGAGATCAACTGCTTCAACTCTCAATTGAAAGTGATTACCAGAGAGTTTTGAAATGGCAAAAGTGGTGAACCTCACCTCTCAGATTATTTCTCGAAAATTTCGATGAGATGAAGGATGAAGAAGATTTCGCTCTCGAGTGGCTTAGCACGCAAGACGTTTATGAAGGAACAAGGCTTGAGACCATAAACCGAGCATAGTCATACAAGCTGACCAACCGAAGTCTGGCATAAGGAAAAGCCCTTATTTGCCTTGAAATGAAGAAACCATCTCTCGATCCTGCCTTTGAAGAAGAGATGAAGGAATTCAAAGCTGCTCTCTTGTTATCCAAAATCAAAACTGAATTAGAGAAGCTCCATCAAAATGATCCAGCTTGCAATGTCAGCGGATCCAAGGACGAGAATGGGAATGCAATTGAAGACGATGCTGCAATTGAGGAAGATGTTGAAAATGAAGAAGCTACAGCAGAAGAAGAAAGAATTTGTTAGTCCCAAAGGGGGTGTGGTAAAAGTCTTGGTGGGGGGGGGGGGGGTGAATAGCCTTTTAAACATTTTCCCGAATACAACAATTGTTGAGGCGATAAAGAAACCAAAACTCTTAACTAGATTGTTAGAGTCTTGTGCACAGCGGAATAATAAAGTAAGTGTTGTGTGAATGTGCCAAGTATATCCACGTGATATGCAGTAAGTAAATAAAGCAGTAAATGACACAAGGCAATTTATAGTGGTTCGGAGGTGATGTAATCCCCCCTACTCCACTTGCTCTTATCGTCCAAGAGCAATTCGCTATATCCACTACTTCTTGGTTCCTAGATACAATGAATTTCCGTGATCTAGTGCTTTGATAACTAAGCCCACACTAATCACGCCCAGTGCCTCCAACACTGCTGCTTCGTATTTCACAGCTCCGTGCTACTTTCCAGGATTTCACAGCTCCGTGCTACTTTCCCCCTGTCTTCCACGATCCGGTCGACGTATCCCGTGATTTAGTGCTTTGATCACAAAGCCCGCACTAATCACGCCCAGTACCTCCGACACTGCTGTTTCGGATCTCACAGCTCCGTGTGACAATCCAGGATTTCACAACTCTGTGTTACTTTCCTCCCTTCCTACACTCCAGTAGGAATATCACTTGTTTGTAGAAAAACAAGTTTCATTGGCTTCCAACTTTGAGACTTCTTGAATGGATATTCAATATGCAGCAAGTCTCTTAATGATGAAGATTTTAAACATTCTTGAATATTTTCTCTTTGAGCTCTGAGTGTTTATCTCACTTGAATATTTTCTCACTTTTGAGTATAGCACTTGTTCGTATGTACTGTTCGTTGCTTGTGTTTGAAGTGCTTTCATCTGCTTCAATCTTCATCCTTTTATAGCTGGTTTTGAGAATTTGTCCGTTGGAAAAGACAATCTCAAATTTGAATTGTAGATCTCAAATTTGAATTTCTTGTAGCCTTTGCAGAGGATCTGTAGCTTTTTCTGAAGATCTTATTAAAAATAATATCTCTGACATTTGAGATATTTCAGCCGTTGCTTAGCTCTTGGTCCATGTGAAGAGACTCTAAAAAATATTTCTGATGCAGATCATGTCTTCACGTGAAGGTGCTCTTAAAATAATTCTTATGTAGATCATGCCCTTCTCTGTATGGGCTACTGATGAAGTTGTTTGTGTTACTGATGAAGTTGTTTCTCGATTTCAATCCTTGATTGAAACTTCATCTCTAACTTCAGCTCTTACTATATATAGTCTTACTATATATAGTTTGAAGTTTACTTCATCCTCAAACATTGACTTGCAAACCGCATCTCTTACTTCATCTCCTTCTTAGTTTCGAATTAATTTTGAAACCTCTTTTCAAACCTCAACTCCTACTTCATCTAAAATTATAGAGAATAAGTTTCAAACCTAAGACCTTGGGGTTTATACATCAAGCTTTCATCCATCTTGCCTATACGAATTATTAGTCATTATAGCATTCTCCTTGATGTACTTCTTTCTTTCCATAGATGTTTGATCTTCAAGATAACTTCATGCAATCTCGTTTGCTTCTCGTTTCTTCGTATGAGATCATTGGTATGACTTCTTCTTTGAGTTTGGGGCGTGTGGGCTTAAGTATACATATCATATGCATACATCTCCTTCTTCTTCTTCTTCTTCGTATTTTTCCCTTTTTCTATATTTTTTAATTTTCCTTTCATGGTCTATGACACGCCTAGACTTAACAATAAAATTGGGGATTCTAAAATACAATTTGGCATATCAAAATCTATTAGAATATATTCCTAACAGAATCAATGAAGATGAAGGTACCAATGAGGTTGAACCTGCTGCAAATGAACATCCTGATGAAAAAGACAACGCAGATGGAGATGGTGATGAAGAAGACAATGACGAGAATGACATTCCAGATGACGAGAATGATGATGAGGAAGACGATGACAGTGATAAGGATAATGATTATAACAATCATGATTCGGATGACGATGATTCGGACTATGATAGTGAATCTCCTATCATAGGCAACACCGAAATCATACTCGGATCACCCACACCTCACTCATCTCCTCATGAAGAAGACCCTCCTCGTGATCCATCCCCTTCAGCACCTCCACCTACTGATAGTCGGATTGATGCTAGACCAGCTAGTGATGGCAAAATGGAAGCATCACCACCAACAACAGGTCAATTGAATCCGAAATCACCTCGTGATGGCAAAATGGAAGAATCACCAAGTGAGAATCAATTCATTCTTGAACAGAGGAATGTTTTTCGTGAACCTAAGAGCATCCACCTCGAACCAGGCCTTCGTATCGAATCTCTTGATCCAGAAAACATCATGCACCATTTGCTAACCACAATCCACCAAGTCGAGCTTCTGCATCAACTGTATTCATTTCACTGAAAGCAAGATAGTCAAACTCTAGAAGATCTGTCCACCAAGTTGACACAAGTAATGACAACTTTATCTTACACTCCACAGCAACCACCATCTTCAACTACAGACTTTCACGAAAAGCAAGCAACTGAACTCCACCGTCAAAGTCATCTTCTTGACAAGATTGCGAAAGAGCAACATTCTCTCAAGCTTTCTCAATTTGGCCTCAAAGAAAGAGTTGACTTAGCCTGCACGAAAGTTGATTTAGCAAGTGACAACATGTACCGAATGGGAGAATATCAGCTCCAGATTCTCGAATATGTCAAAGACATGCTCAACACAGTCAACAAGCTAGTCAAGCCCTCTGATTCTCTATGTGCTGATGCCAAGAAGGGGGAAAAGAAGAGAGATGATGATGATGAGGACGAGAACAGAAACAAATCTCCATCTCGCCCAAATGAATTTAGAAACAGATCTCTTGTTCAAAGAAGGAATGACGAAGGAAGAAACACGAGATCTTCACCTCCAGCATCTAAGTCTCGGCATCAGCCATCCTCAAGATCCAGACAACACTCTATCAGACCTCAGCAATCTTTCGGATCCACCTCTGAGTTTGTATTTCGTGGAAAAACGTACAGAGAGAAAAAGAATCTTCGCCAAAGGCTTATGCGAGATAAGAATATAAACATGGATGCCACAAGAAACTTCGTTACTTACCAGGAGTACGAAGTAGGAAGTGGAAAGCGCTTTGAAGGATGCAATCTACCGACATGGTTGACGAAGAAAGATAACTACTCTAGACAAACTTATCAAAGCCAAAGAAATGAAGAGATCAAGAAAGCAAATCTAGAATTGTGGAACAAACAAGAAGAGGCGAGACTTGCAAGAGAACATGAATTGCTTGAACGTGAAAGAATGAAGGAAAAGATAAAGGATGTAACAAAGATTGCAAAAGATGCTAACCTGGAGTTAAGTACAATGCCGTTTTCAAAATTCACACAGAATCAGGAAAGAGTTACACTGAGGGAATGCATTCGTTTGAGCTCGTTTCCTGGTGGAATCTTGGTATTGTCGAAGGAGAAAATATTCTTGAAGCATACAACAATTATCTGGGCTGCAACATCACTGGGAAATATGAAGACCTCGTGAAAGAAAATCATATCCGAAAGTTTAGAACTTTGATCAACCGAGATATTGACATGGATAGGATGCTCAAAGAACAAAAGAAGAGAGATGACAAAGAACGAAAGGAGGCTCAGATACAAAAAGCGAAACTTTTAGATATGTAAAAGTTCTTCAACTTCGCTTTCGATTATTTTGTAAGTGTTTCTGATCATTATAAAAGTTTCCTTTTGTCCAAATTCTCGTGTTCCTATCTAAGTTAACTGTTATAATTTCTTGTACCTTTCATTATTGCTTAGAAACTGAATGTAAACTCTACTGCATGGCTATTTTGAAATGAAAAATCCTTTATGGGATGTCTGTCAGCCTTATAGCAGAGTATGGGTTTTGGCATCATCAAAAAGGGGGAAATTGTTAGGAACATATGTACTTAGACTTTGATGACACCAATGTAATTTAGACTGTAGACCCCTAAATTTTTGAATCGTTTTTCTTGCTACTTTCGTCTTAGACGAAAGATGCCATAACTCGCCTTGTAATTCGTGTTAAGCTAGACAAACACACGAAACTGAGTTATGATCTTTTAGTTAGGTCTACTAGGACGAAAGAAGATCGAAAGATTGAAGAAAAGTGATATGCACATTTTACACTCATATTTTAGGTACATTTTTATAATAATTTTGCATTGGTTATTTAATATTATCTAATAATTAGTTCTTTTTATATATAATACAATATATAATATATAATATATAATATATAATATATATAATATATAATATATATATATAATACATACTAATTAATATATATATATATATATATATATATATATATATATGTATATATATATATATTACGTACTACTAGTAAATAAATAAATAAATAAATAAATATATATATATATATATATATATATATATATATATATATATATATTAGAAATCAACAAATAAATTAAATAAATATAATATTTTAATTTGTTTGCTTTCCTAACAAAACATATGGTGCAGCAGCAAAAATAAAGTCAATGAGAGCTATTCCAAGGCATTATTACAAGGAGTTTCAACATATGACACAAAAATAGGAAACAAGTGGTAGGAAATAGTTTAGGTTTATTTTTAGAATGCTATAAATAGTAGAAATTTCTTATTGTAAATGTTCATTCTTCCCCTCTCGAATATTCTTTAAGGTTGTTATCAATGCCCATTCGCGGCTAATTTCTTGTTTGGTTTAGTGAATTGAAGCCCCGGAGTTCATTACGCTGTAAGGTTATTTATTTATTTTTATTATATATTTTTTATGCATTTGAGTATTAAATATTCTTCTAAGTTATTTGAAATAATTGTGTCATTTAATTGCTAGGGAGGCCTACTAGTTATTTATTTGATATAATTATTTGCTATATTAGATAATGTTGTGCTACAAATTACTCTAATATTCAGTAGCAACTGGGTTAATTATTGACGGCTTAGTGATAATTGGACTCGGGTAGAATATTTTCCTAAATTAAATGCAACCGCTTGTGCTTGTGTTATTTAGTTTGTCGGTTTTCCTAGTTCCTATTGCTGCTATTAAATTAAATCTATAGCGCTTGTCTTAGGTTATTTAGTAGTTAGGGGTAATTAAACCGTGTGTGCTTTAGTTACCTACAACTAAGGGAAAACGGAATTGAAATAATTTCACGACAAATATTCAACTGCATATTAATTACTTTATAAATCAATGATCAGTGTTAAACTCCGGTGGTAGATCTTTACTGACCAAGGTTTCTTATTATAAGTGTTTTCGATATATTATTTTCACTGTTTATTCATTTGATTAAATTTCTCATTTATTTAATTTCTCTTTTATTTAATATTTATTCTCGATATATTCCAAACCCCCCATTATTTCCTTGAGCACAAAAGTTAAACTAGTTACTCCTCGTGGGATCGATCCTTACTCCCGCTACTACGTTTGTAAGGTTTTAATTTGGGAGCCTACGACAGCTCACCAAATTTTGGCGCCGTTGCCGGGGAGATTTTCTAGCTTATTTTGTGTTTATTTAATCATTTATTTCTTTATTTGTTTATTTGCTTTTCATCTGTCCCAAAAAAAATTTTAAAAAAAAATCTTTTCTTTCGTTACTTTTACATAATTGCTGCAATATCTTTAGCGGTTTATGCCTATAACTCGATCTGCTAATCAAAAAATCTTGCCGTACGATCCGGAAATTGAAAGAACTGTATGCAGGTGGAGGAAACAAGCTTTGAGGAAATTAGAGTTTAGTGATCTGGCTACCGATTCTGCCAACTCTGATTCAGAAAGGGAACCCATGGCTCAAAATCGGACTTTAAAAGAGCTTGGTGCTCCAAATTTGGATCATCAACCTTTATGCATCACCTTTCCCGCTCTGGATGCTAATGTACAATTTGAATTAAAATCTGGGTTAATTCATCTGTTGCCTTCTTTTCATGGACTTGCAGGTGAAGACCCTCACAAACACTTGAAGGAATTCCATGTGGTGTGTTCAAGTATGAAACCCACAGGGGTTACTGAAGAACAAATTAAGTTGAGAGCCTTTCCCTTTTCGTTGAAAGATTCAGCGAAGGATTGGCTATACTATCTACCTTCTGGGAGCATCACCACATGGAATAACTTAAAGACATCATTCCTTGAAAAATATTTCCCAGCTTCAAGGACGGCCAACATTAGAAAGGAAATTTGTGGTATAAGGCAAAACAATGGAGAGTCTTTGTATGAATATTGGGAGCGTTTCAAGAAGTTATGTGCAAGCTGCCCACACCATCAAATCAGTGATCAATTACTCATTCAATACTTTTATGAAGGACTTTTTCCGACTAATAGGAGCATGATTGATGCCGCGAGCGGTGGTGCTTTAGTTGACAAAACACCAGACGCTGCAAGAAATTTAATTGCAAACATGGCTGCAAATTCTCAACAGTTCGGCAATAGACTTGCCCAACCGTCTAAGCAAGTGAATGAGGTAAATATTTCTGCTCTTGAACAACAAATTTCTGGTTTAACTACTCTTGTTCGTCAATTAGCAGTAGGCAATATGCAAACCGTAAGAGCATGTGGAATTTGCTCGGTAGTTGGGCATCAAACTGATGCCTGCCCAACTCTTCAAGAGGAACCTATTGAACAAGTCAACGTGGCTGGAGGTTTTCCTGGACAACCTCAAGGTAAGTATGATCCATTTTCCAATACATATAATCCTGGATGGCGGGATCACCCAAACCTTAGTTATGGGAACTCACAAGGGAACCAGTTTGTTCAGAATCATTCCAATTTTCAGCAGTACAGACAACCATTTCCTTCAAGACAACAACCAACCCAAAACTTTAGCTCAGGTACGAATCTAGAAGATATTGTTAAATCTCTTGCTACTAACACTTTGCAGTTTCAACAAGAAACACAACTATTCCAACAAGAGACAAGAGCTAGTATTCAAGAAACAAAGGCTAGTATTCAAAACTTGGAAAGACAAATGGGCCAACTTGCAACTACGGTTAGTCGGTTGGGAGCACAGAGTTCTGGCAAACTACCCTCTCAAACAGTTGTTAATCCTAAAGAGAATGTAAGTGCAATTAATTTTGAAAGTATGTCGCTGGAAAAGAATGTTGATTTGAATAAGGAAATAAGTGCAGGAATCATTGCCAACAATAAAGAGAAGTCCCAAGGTAAGCTTTCTTCTTTTTCTGATTATGAACCAGTACCCCCATTTCCTCAAGCTCTTTTAGAACCAATAAGAGGAAACTCAAATAATGATCTGTATGAGACCTTTCGTGAATGTGATGCTAATAAACCACTTTTAGATTCTATGGAAAAAGTACCTCGCTATGCAAATTTTCTAAAAGAGGTACGCACTATGAAAAAGAAACGAAATGATGAAAGGATTG